GGGATGACTCTGACATCACCTCCTCCAGTATTTAGAGAGACCATTGAAGCTCACAATGGGATGACTCTGACATCACCTCCTCCAGTATTTAGAGAGACCATTGAAGCTCACAATGGGATGACTCTGACATCACCTCCTCCAATATTTAGAGTGAACACTGAAGCTCACAGTGGGATGACTCTGACATCACTTCCTCCAATATTTAGAGAGAACACTGAAGCTCACAGTGGGATGACTCTGACATCACCTCCTCTAGTATTTAGAGAGTACACTAAAGCTTACAGTGGGACGACTCTGACATCACCCCTTCCAGTATTTAGAGAAAACGCTGAAACTCACAGTGGGATGACTCTAGCATCAGATCCTCCAATATTTAGAGAGAACACTGAAGCTCACAGTGGGATGACTCTGGCATCAGATCCTCCAATATTTAGAGAGAACACTGAAACTCACAGTGGGATGACTCTGGCATCAGATCCTCCAATATTTAGAGAGAACACTGAAGCTCACAGTGGGATGACTCTGGCATCAGATCCTCCAATATTTAGAGAGAACACTGAAACTCACAGTGGGATGACTCTGGCATCAGATCCTCCAATATTTAGAGAGAACACTGAAGCTCACAGTGGGATGACTCTGACATCACCTCCTCAAGTATTTAGAGAGAACATTGAAGCTCACAGTGGGATGACTCTGACATCACCTCCTCCAGTATTTAGAGAGAACATTGAAGCTCACAGTGGGATGACTCTGACATCACCTCCTCCAATATTTAGAGAAAACACTGAAGCTCACAGTGGGATGACTGTGACATCACCTCCTCCACTATTTAGAGAGAACATTGAAGCTCACAGTGGGATGACTCTGACATCACCTCCTCCAGTATTTAGAGAGAATATTGAAGCTCACAGTGGGATGACTCTGACATCACCTCCTCCAATATTTAGAGAGAACACTGAAGCTCACACTGGGATGACTCTGACATCACCTCCTCCAGTATTTAGAGAGAACATTGAAGCTCACAGTGGGATGACTCTGACATCACCTCCTCCAATATTTAGAGAGAACACTGAAGCTCACAGTGGGATGACTGTGACATCACCTCCTCCAGTATTTAGAGAGAACACTGAAGCTCACAGTGGGATGACTGTGACATCACCTCCTCCAGTATTTAGAGAGAACACTGAAGCTCACAGTGGGATGACTGTGACATCACCTCCTCCAATATTTAGAGAGAACACTGAAGCTCACAGTGGGATGACTGTGACATCACCTCCTCCAATATTTAGAGAGAGCACTGAAGCTCACAGTGGGATGACTGTGATATCACCTCCTCCAATATTTAGAGAGAACACTGAAGCTCACAGTAGGATGACTCTGACATCACCTCCTCCAATATTTAGAGAGAGCACTGAAGCTCACAGTGGGATGACTCTGACATCACCTCCTCCAATATTTAGAGAGAGCACTGAAGCTCACAGTGAGATGACTCTGACATCACCTCCTCCAGTATTTAGAGAGAACACTGAAGCTCACAGTGGGATGACTGTGACATCACCTCCTCCAGTATTTAGAGAGAACACTGAACCTCACAGTGGGATGACTGTGACATCACCTCCTCCAGTATTTAGAGAGAACACTGAAGCTCACAGTGAGATGACTGTGACATCACCTCCTCCAGTATTTAGAGAGAACACTGAAGCTCACAGTGGAATGACTGTGACATCACCTCCTCCAGTATTTAGAGAGAACACTGAAGCTCACAGTGGGATGACTGTGACATCACCTCCTCCAGTATTTAGAGAGAACACTGAAGCTCACAGTGGGATGACTGTGACATCACCTCCTCCAGTATTTAGAGAGAACACTGAAGCTCACAGTGGGATGACTGTGACATCACCTCCTCTAGTATTTAGAGAGAACACTGAAGCTCACAGTGGGATGACTGTGACATCACCTCCTCCAGTATTTAGAGAGAACACTGAAGCTCACAGTGGGATGACTGTGACATCACCTCCTCCAGTATTTAGAGAGAACACTGAAGCTCACAGTGGGATGACTCTGACATCACCTCCTCCAGTATTTAGAGAGAGCACTGAAGCTCACAATGGGATGACTCTGACATCACCTCCTCCAGTATTTAGAGAGAACACTGAAGCTCACAGTGGGATGACTGTGACATCACCTCCTCCAGTATTTAGAGAGAACACTGAAGCTCACAGTGGGATGACTGTGACATCACCTCCTCCAGTATTTAGAGAGAACACTGAAGCTCACAGTGGGATGACTGTGACATCACCTCCTCCAGTATTTAGAGAGAACACTGAAGCTCACAGTGGGATGACTGTGACATCACCTCCTCCAATATTTAGAGAGAACACTGAAGCTCACAGTGGGATGACTGTGACATCACCTCCTCCAGTATTTAGAGAGAACACTGAAGCTCACAGTGGGATGACTGTGACATCACCTCCTCCAGTATTTAGAGAGAACACTGAAGCTCACAGTGGGATGACTGTGACATCACCTCCTCCAATATTTAGAGAGAACACTGAAGCTCACAGTGGGATGACTGTGACATCACCTCCTCCAGTATTTAGAGAGAACACTGAAGCTCACAGTGGGATGACTGTGACATCACCTCCTCCAGTATTTAGAGAGAACACTGAAGCTCACAGTGGGATGACTGTGACATCACCTCCTCCAATATTTAGAGAGAAACACTGAAGCTCACAGTGGGATGACTGTGACATCACCTCCTCCAGTATTTAGAGAGAACACTGAAGCTCACAGTGGGATGACTGTGACATCACCTCCTCCAGTATTTAGAGAGAACACTGAAGCTCACAGTGGGATGACTGTGACATCACCTCCTCCAATATTTAGAGAGAACACTGAAGCTCACAGTGGGATGGCTGTGACATCACCTCCTCCAGTATTTAGAGAGAACACTGAAGCTCACAGTGGGATGACTCCGACATCACCTCCTCCAGTATTTAGAGAGAACACTGAAGCTCACAGTGGGATGACTCTGACATCATCTCCTCCAGTATTTAGAGAATTAAAACACAGTGTCTACACAAGTTTTCAATGTTTCTCAGTTTTCTTTAGGCAGTTTTGTTCTACTTAAAATTCTCAATAATACTGTAAGAAGAAAAGTTTTTAAGTAAGTCCAATATGGATAGAAAATATTCTGTAAAACTTATAAATTGGGAATACAAAAGCCAAAATCAGCGATAAAAAAATAATATATCCAATTTAGATCGACCAGAGGACGTATTCCTCGTTAATTGGAAATTAGTTTATTTCTTAAAATTGGCTGTTTAAAATTTGCATATCTCAAAGTGAAATTCATGCTTTCTTTTTAAAAAGCGCATTGTCATAAAGTTTGAAGCCTACCGGAAGAGTCATTCTCCAGAAACTGTTCAGAATCTAGCCATTTCAAGTTTTTTCACCTTTTTTTTTTGTGGTGAACTTCATCAAGTTTTTTTTTTATATATGTGCTGATCATAAGTCAGGTTAATTATAAACTTTATAGAAATAAAAATCAATCTCCAGATCCTGGGAAAATAATTTTGTGTCTCGCACAAACTAAGATAAAGATGGCGCCGGGAAAATTATCCATCAAGGAAATTAATTGAGAAAACGTGGAAGATGTTTTACACTTATAATGAGAGAAAACGGAAAGAAGGAATTAGTGAAATAGTGAAGGATAACAGGGAAGGTAAAAAAATCTAATATTTGGAATGAATTCATAGTTATTACTATTATTATAATAATAATTATTATTATTATTATTATTATTATTATTATTATTATTATTATTAGTAGTAGTAGTAGTAGTAGTAGTAGTAGTAGTAGTATTCTTATTATTAATTATTATTATTATTATTATTATTATTATTATTATTATTATTATTATTATTATTATTATTATTATTATTGCTGTTCACAGAAGGCGCTGAACACATGACGATCATTCAGTGCAAATCTGTATTGCGTTTCATGAAGCAAGTGGAGGCTTGATCCACCGTCCATGTGTGTGTCATTCAACACAAGGAGTGGTGGAGGCTTGATCCACCGTCCTCTGAGTGACGGCCCGCTCCCTGACTCCCCAGGATGCTGCTGACAAGGTATTGAGATATCAGAACATATAGCTGCTAAAAGGTTCGTACTAACGTCGGTATTGTGACGTGATGGTTCAGTGGTTATTTGTGGGTTGTTTGAGAATGGTATACTTGGCTGAGTGTTCTTGTTATTATTGTTCTTTCTGTAGTAATAATAATAATAATAATCATAATAATAATAATGATAATCATAAGAAGAAGAAGAAGAAGAAGAAGAAGAAGAAGAAGAAGAAGAAGAAGAAGAATATATCTTAAAAATTGGATAGTAGGAGAGAAGAGGGAGAGAGAGAGAGAGAGAGAGAGAGAGAGAGAGAGAGAGAGAGAGAGAGAGAGAGAGAGAGAGAGAGAGAGAGAGAGAGAGAGAGAGAGAGAGAGAGAGAGAGAGAGAGAGAGAGAGAGTCTAGCAGTCTTAATAATAATATTACTTCTAGTTACTTCTGTCCATCAAGGGCCTGACTGCCACCTGGGTTCCTGTTAACAGTAACAGTTAATGTAAGTGGTGTTCGATATACATTTCGTCCAAGTGGGGGGAAGATGGTTGATACAGCTCAGCCGTGAGCTAAATGTAGCTCCGGTACAAGCTTGTGTTGCTCATTGTGTCTTTCTATCTGTCAGTGTCGCTCCATCAATGGGCTGACTGCAACACATTCGTCTTCTTCGTCTCTCAAATGAAGGATCGTGTAAGAAAAAGTCGTCATGATATCAAATGCAAATTTAATGAATAAGATAAATCTTAAAAAAAATGGGTAATAATCATTCTTTATATATATTATATATAATATATATATATATATATATATATATATATATATATATATATATATATATATATAATATATATATATATATATATATAATATTACATGAGTGAAATAGTTTCTATTGTGGTATTGACCTAAACATAGGCTAATTATAAAAATGACGTGGTTTTAGTGCACTGAGAAAAGTTAAAGTGTCACAGCTGAAGAACGAAGGTGTGGCTGGAATACATCTCGTATTATGGCACTTGTAAATAGACTAGCATCGCCTGGGGGGGAGACAGAGGCACTCAGTTACTTGGGCAGCAGACTCGACCTGAGAGTCATGTTGTGTCTCTCCATACCACGAACAGGTAACTGACAGGGTATGCAAATCACTGGGCATCCCCATGAATATTTAACAGCCATCATTTCTCCTTGTGTAGCGTCCGTCAGCGCTGAATATGTGGAGAATTTATCCGACTGGGTACAGACGTTCGCCTAGACGTCTTAACTCACCAGCAGAAGATGCTGAGGCTTAAGAACTATACGGAGTATCAACACGGTGTTCTAGCTTATTTCTAACGGAAATATTTCATCACTAAGTCAAATAACATTCACGATACCCTTAATTTCACAACTCCGAGGTGAAGGAGAGGCCGTCCTTCTCCCCCACCAGGAGTATCTCGAAAGGGTCAGCTACAGCTAAGGTTGGTATATTGTGAAAGACATCCAGGTTGTCTTCCAGTAGTCGGGAGTCGTCAGAGAGGAGGTCCTCGATGTCACTAGCACTGCTGAGGGACTTGAGATCGGTGGAAGAAGAATAGGTGAGGGATAGGGTGGTGTTATATGGTGAACAGCACTGCAGCAGCTGTGGATACTGAGGATGATGTGACGTTGAGTGTTGGTACTGGAAGGTCGTCAGGTCCCCAGAAGCAGGTGCTATTTTTTGAAAGGAATACTGAAAAGATGGTTGTAGTGGTGAGTGTTGCAGCGAATGTTGCAAAGAGTTTTGTATGGAAGTTTGCAAGGTATTTTGGATGGAGCAGAGATCCTCGTCGCCAGTCTCCTGCAGGACGTGTGACAGAGCTCTGATATAGTCCACAGCCAGACGCAGAGTCGTGATCTTTGTCATTGATGAGGAATTTGCTTGAACTTCCAAGGCGTCGGGGAGAACCTTACGCAGAGATTCGAACGCATTATTGATCTCCTTCATGCGGTGACGTTCTCGAGCATTAGCAGTTTTTCTTCGATACTTTGACAGTGGTGCGGGTCTTGACTTAGACCTTGGAGACCTTTTGGAAACCTCTTTCCGGATAATTTCGTGTTGCAGCCTCTTGATGATGGTCCTGGGTCGTAGGGCATAATTGTCCCTGGAGCGGGTGTTCCTGTTGTTGGTGTTGTTGGTGATGTTATTGTTGGAGGCTGCGTCTCTCCGTTGCTCCTGCGTTGACCCCTCCATCACCCGTCCACTCAGGTCGATCATCCTTTCTACAGGGGACACAAACCGTATAAAAGATGAGTGGTTTTAAAACCTTATCAGGGAGATTATTAAGTTTCTACTTCAGCTGATAACTACTTCGCTGGCATCGAAGTCACTCATTTTTGCTGATTTTTCTATGTAACACTAAGCTGAAGTCCCTTACAACAAAGCTCAGGCTCTGCTGTATCACTTGAAACTTAAATAATAAATGTTTTCACTTGGCTAAGTTACACAATTAATTTACCATTCAATCACTTCGAACATCGCCTTGGCTATAATGCATCATTTCTACAGATGTTGGGGGTAGGTGTCTCTGCAGGGCAGCTATGTTTCTGCAGGGCAGTAGTGCCTCTGTAGAGCAGGTGTATGTCTCTGTAGGGCAGGTGTATCTCTGCAAGGCAGATGGTGAGGGTCAGTGGTCAGTGGACCCTGCAAGACGACGCACTCTGGCCTTCGCACTTCCTCTTCTGGCGCGTAAAATACACTTCCATATTGGGACTTGTGCACCTCACGCCTCGCTGACCACGACTGCTGCTTCTTCTGCTGTTGTTGCTCCTGCTGCTAGGCAACACACACTCGCAGCTCACGCTGCAACGAAACTGTTGCAGAGTTCATGATATGGCCAGCGTGGGGATATCCAGCGTGGGGACGATGTGGCTTTAGAGGCAAGAGTGTGCCATGAATGTATCGTACCTCTGGAGGACTCGTCTTGCTTCTACCAGCTTACGGACATCACTGATGCCCAGTTCACCTGTTGCCTTGACGCTCCCTCCACACGTGCCCAGGCCAGTGACGTCAGTATTGGTGAGAGAAAACTTTCACGATTGTGTTAGCGACTCCCTCACTGCCGCTCTGGAAGGTTGCAGCTCCAGCCTCTGGAATAGCGTGACACCAGCCTCTTGAGGGGTGTGACACCGGCCTCTGCGTCTGAGGGTGCTCAGAGCGGCGACAAAGTCACCCCAGAGTTTAGGTAGAAAGGCCTGCCACGGAAAGGTGTGTGTGTAATATAAATCTTTACGGAGTTTCATTCAGCTTCACGGGCGGGTAAGTGGCAACTGGGGTCCAGTGTTGACGTGGGGGAGAGAGAGCAGATGCTCGCTGCAGTCATCTCCTGCCTCCCGATACGGCAGCATCTCCACCATCATCACCACTCACCGCCACCAACACGACTCAACACCACCAATAACAGTACCACCACTAACAAGGAATTCACCAACATCACCATTACCGCTATCACCAACTCCGACAACAACAGTAGCATCACCACCACTGCAACTAAATTCAACAGGAGCTCCACAATTAATAAATTCAACAGGAGCTCCACTGTTAATAAATTCAACAGGAGCTTCACTGCTAATAAATTCGACAGAAGCACCACCACCACTACTAATACATTCAACAACAGCAGGACCACAGCCCATCTCAACTACGGCACCACCTTCACTGCAGTCACCATTAACACACCTCAACAACAGCAGCACCAGCAACAGCAGCACCTTTTAACAGGAATAACTGCAGCACCAGCACAAACACAACCACCACTAGCAACACAACCACCACTAGCAGCACAACCACCACTAGCAGCACAACCACCACTAGCAGCACAACCACAACTAGCAACACAACCATCACTAGCAACACAACCACATCTAGCAACACAACCACCACTAGCAGCACAGCCACCACTAGCAACACAACCACCACTAGCAGCACAGCCACCACTAGCAACACAACCACCCCTAGCAGCACAACCACCACTAGCAACACAACCACCACTAAAAAGCACAACCACCACTAGCAGCACAACCACCACTACAACAAAAACCACCACTAGCAGCACAACCACCACTAGCAACACAACCACCACTAGCAACACAACCACACTAGCAACACAACCACCACTAGCAACACAACCACCACTAGCAACACAAACAACCACTAGCAACACAACCACCACTAGCAACACAACAACCACTAGCAACACAACCACCGCTAGCAACACAACAACCACTAGCAACACAACCACTACTAGCAACACAACCACCACTAGCAACACAACCACCACTAGCAGCACAGCCACCACTAGCAACACAACCACCACTAGCAGCACAATCACCACTAGCAACACACCACCACTAACAGCACAACCACCACTAGCAGCACCCAAACCACCACTAGCAACACAACAACCACCCGCAACACAACCACTACTACCAACAACAACCACCACTAGCAACACAACCACCACTAGCAGCACAGCCACTATTATCAAAAGCACTACCACCAAACCTTACCGCAACCACTGACCACCATCACTAACAATAACACTAGCACTGCTACTGCCAATACTACTACTACTACTACTACATACTACCACCACCGCCACTATCAACTGCACCACCACTATCTACCACCATTACTACCACTATCCATCACCAATATCCACCACCACTATCCACCACCACCATCCACCACCAACACCATCCACCACCACCATCCACCACCATCATCCACCACCACCATCCACCACCACTACACTACCACTGTCCACCAACACTACACCAACACTATCCATCACCAATACCCACCACCACCATTCACCACCACCATCCACCACCACTACACTACCACTATCCACCACCAATACACACCACTATCCACCACCACTCTCCACCAACCATCATTCACCACCACTACACTACCACTGTCCACCACCACATCCACCACCACTACACTACCACTACCATCACCACTAATCCACCACCACTAATCCACCAACACCATCCACCACCACTACACTACCACTATCCACCAACACTACACACCACTATCCATCACAACTAATCCATCACCACTATCCACCACCACTATCCACCCCACAATTCCACCACACCATCCACCACCACCATCCACCACCACTACACTACAACTATCCATCACCACCATCCACTACCACCATTCACCACCACCATCTACCACCACCACTACACTACCACCACCACTGTCCACCACCACTAAACAACCACATCCACCACCACTATCCACCACCACCATTTAGCACCACCACACTACCACTATCAACCACCACCATCCACCACTGCTACACTACCACTGTTCACAATCACCCTCCACCACCACTACACTACCACTGTCCACCACCACAACACCACCACTATCCACAACCATTATCCACCAACATTATCCACCACCACCATCCACCACCACTACACTACCACTATCCATCACCACCATCCACCACCACTACACCACCATTATCCACCACCACTATCCACCACCACCAGTCACCACCAACTACACAACCACTATCCACCACCACCACCACCACCACTACAGTACCACTATCCACCACTACTACACTATTACTCACCAAAAAACATATAAACATATAAACAGCGATACGAAAACGAAAATAATAAAATAATAATAATAATAATAATAATAATAATAATTATTAACAATAATAATAACAATAATAATAATAAATAATAATAACAATAATAATAATAATAATAATAATAATAATAATAATAATAATAATAATAATAATAATAAAAATAATAATAATAATAATAATAAACAGAAAGTATTGAATAATAAATAGAAGATGAATTAAATGATTAACTGAAACAAATTTACTGATAACTTGAGGATAAATTTAAAGATTAACATTAAAGTCTGGGTTTAAAAATATTTTTTGACACAGAGTGAAGACAAGTATCATGTGAGGGATACACAACATTGCTAGGGATACACAACATTGTGAGGGATACACAACACAGTGAGGGATACACAACACAGTGAGGGATACACAACACAGAGAGGGATACACAACATTGCTAGGGATACACAACATTGTGAGGAATACACAACATTGTAAGGGATACACAACATTGTGAGGGATACACAACATAGAGAGGGATACACAACATTGTGAGGGATACACAACATTGTGAGAGATACACAACATTGTGAGGGATACACAACATTGTGAGGAATACACAACATTGTGAGGAATACACAACATTGTGAGGGATACACAACATTGTAAGGGATACACAACACGGTGAGGGATACACAACATTGTGAGGGATACATAACATTGCGAGGTATACACAACACAGTGAGGGATACACAACATTGTGAGGGATACACAACATAGTGAGGGATGCACAACACAGTGAGGGATACATAACATTGTGAGGGATACACAACATTGTGAGGGATGTACAACATAGTGAGGGATACACAACATTGTGAGGGATACACAACACAGTGAGGGATACACAACATAGAGAGGGATACACAACATTGTGAGGGATACACAACATTGGGAGAGATACACAACATTGTGAGGGATACTCAACATTGCAAGGGATACACAAGATTGTGAGGGATACACAACACTGTGAGGGATACACAACACAGTGTGGGATACACAACACAGAGAGGGATACACAACATTGTGAGGAATACACAACATTGTGAGGAATACACAACATTGTAAGGGATACACAACATTGTGAGGGATACACAACATAGAGAGGGATACACAACATAGTGAGGGATACACAACATTGTGAGAGATACACAACATTGTGAGGGATACACAACATTGTGAGGAATACACAACATTGTGAGGAATACACAACATTGTGAGGGATACACAACATTGTAAGGGATACACAACACATTGAGGGATACACAACATTGTGAGGGATACACAGCATTGTGAGGGATGTACAACATAGTGAGGGATACACAACATTGCGGGGGATATACAACACAGTGAGGGATACACAACATTGTGAGGGATACACAACATAGTGAGGGATGCACAACACAGTGAGGGATACATAACATTGTGAGGGATACACAACATTGTGAGGGATGTACAACATAGTGAGGGATACACAACATTGTGAGGGATACACAACACAGTGAGGGACACACAACACAGAGAGGGATACACAACATTGTTAGGGATACACAATATTGTGAGGGATGCACAACTTTCTGAGGGATACACAACATTGTGAGTGATACACAATATTGTGAGGGATACACAACATTGTGAAGGATACACAACATTGTGAGGAATACACAACATTGTGAGGGATACACAACATTGTGAGGGATACACAACATTTTGAGGGATACACAATACAATGAGGAATAAGCAACACAGTGAGGGATACACAACATAGTCAGGAATACACAACGAAGTGAGGGATGCACAACATACTGAGGGATACACAACATTGTGAGGGATACACAACACAGTGAGAGATACACAACACAGTGAGGGATACAAAACACAGTGAGGGATACACAACATTGAGAGGGATACACAACACAGTGAGGGATACACAACATTGCGAGGGATACACAACATAGTGAGGGATACACAACATTGTGAGGGATACACAACATTGACAGGGATACACAACACAGTGAGGGATACACAACACAGAGAGGGATACAACACATTGTGAGGAATACACAACATTGTGAGGGATACACAACATTGTGAGGGATACACAACACAGTGAAGGATACACAACATTGAGAGGGATACACAACATTATGAGAGATACACAACACAGCGAGGGATACACAACATTGTGAGGAAAACACAACATTGTGAGGAATACACAACATTGTGAGGGATACACAACATTATGATGGATGCACAACATTGTGAGGGATATGCAACATTGTGAGGGATACACAACACAATGAGGGATACACAACACAGTG